ACCTAAGCGACACCACTTTGGAGCAGATATTCCTCTCATTCGCTAAACAAAAGTGATAAACAAATTGTATTTCATTTTAACAGTACTTTTATTTATCTCACAATTTATTAATTGTTAATTTCGTTATAAAATTTACCTCATTTTTTGGTTTTATATTTTTATTATTCATTGAAATGTGAAGTTTATATTAACTAAAAATATTAAACAAATAAATTATTTATTTTTTCAAATTGTTATTAATTTGTATAAATATATTTAATTTAGTTACCATGAACAGTTAATACATACCTAATATTAGCGTAGTTTCACATTCATATATCTAATTGTAATCAATACCTATTAATAGTTGTTTTTGTTTAAATAGATTTTTATTGTAAATCACTTATAATAATGTTATAATTTTTCATTTAAAAGTTTTTATAATTTAATAATAAGTAATAATATTTAAGTTTTTAGAAACACTGAGAATATAAATAAATGATAAAAAATATTTGGTTTTCATCGGAGAAAACAATAAAATAATTAAACATTACATTAAAAACTTTGAGTAAAACTTTTTTCATTCATTGACTAGAGATATGATTAGAAACAATGGGAAAAGTGTTAACAATTTTGTCAAATAAATAAATTCATTATTTCGTTAAATACATTATAAAAGAGATCCAAATATTTGTTCAAATAAACCCCTGGAATGATATCTTTGGTAATGTTTTCAATAGATTTTTTGATAAAAAACACATTTTTCACAATTAAGTAGAAATGATTGAAACATTTTTTTTGTTAGAAAAATATTCAATTATTATCGTGTAATCAAACGAGACATCAATAAAATAAATGCATATTTAACTCACTTTTTTCATGGATTAAGATTACTATCGGAAAAGCACTACTGAATACCACAACAACCGTTAAGAGGTGTAAAAGGATTAAAAGGCAAACATAAAAAGTTAAATAAAATGCTAAATATTATAAAATAAGTCAATAAACTACGGATTCAAAACAGATTACCATTAATTCCTACACTAAAAGTCTATAGATATATCACTTTTAGTCGGATTTGGTCCTCGAATTCAAGTGACCAAAACTGATGGTCAGCTCAGAGACAGAGACAATGGTTACCATACTTTGGGTAAAAAACAAACTGACATTTAAAATAATTAATGACTAGAAATAAATGACAAGAATTTGTTCAACAAATACGTAAAACAACAGTAAAAACCAATTATGGGATCAAATAAATGCAATGAAAACACAACACAACGGCTGGTGTGATGTTAAACCATATCTGTGTTACGATTTTTGGTCAACTGAATCGTCTCATAGCCCTCTTCGTACACCTCTTTGGGCTTTTTCGGGTGAATCATCACCTGATCGTCGCAATCGTTGTCGTCGTCGTCCTCCTCTTCGGCGCAGCACTCGGCCGACGACTTGTCTTCGTGTCCTTCGACTAGTTTGCAGTACTTGTACTCCAGAGACCTATTCTTCTTCCAGAAGTGAAACACGAGCGCCAGTAATAGTACGCCAACGGCGGCGACGAGACCGATGCCAATCTGGACCTGTTTGGGAATCACCGAACAGTGGCGACTCTGCACGGGATGCGTGCCGTCCGCCGATAAGACACACCCTTTAGGGTTAACCAAATGGATCTGTTGGTTTGAAAGTGATGTATAGCCGGGAGAGACATGTGTTGAGAGAAATCGACATTAAATTAACGCTAAAACACAATACAAACAAACAATTGGTTTTGACATTACATTCAATATCTAACAGTATTTTGTAATTAATGTTTGTTTTGTTGTTATGTTTTTCATTCAGTCAATACATTTCGCTCTAACACTACATCTCATTAATTCATTGCATTATATAATCATTTCATTTAATATTTAATTACAAACATATTTATAACTGTTTTTGTTATTTATATAACATTTTTATATAAATCTAGTGTTAATTCGTGTTATTATTGACAGTGTTTTTCATCTCTTCGTGCGATATATCACTGAATCACATCCCAAGACATTGCCGTTCACTCATTGACAACAGCTGTTTGCCAACCGATGGTCTGAGGAGTGGATCCGTCGCTTCAAATCCCCCCTAATCTCTAGTCAATGGTATATCTGGTCTCAAACTCACACTCTTCAGCCATGGACTCAATGATGACAACGCAGACAATGCTATTGATTGTCATCCATTTGATGATGTGGTCGGAAGTGATTGTGTCGGATGTGATGCCCACATGTCGTGCCGTATGTGTTATAACACATGTCTATTAGAGGTGTACTGTATATCACATCTCATTTAACCAAACCATTCATTTTTATAGCAAGACTTCAAATACTCGTTCACCGAATGCGATGAGTCGGGCGGCCGGTGGCGGGTGTCGGTGCCCATCAACTCCACCGCCTGTGTCGGCGGCGCTCCCAACGCACCCATACGTGTAGACAAATGCTGTCCGTAATCATCGCCTGTTTGTCTCATTGATTCAAATGTCTTACAAACCATTGCTTTCTCTCTCTCTCTCACTCAGACACGTCCTGCGATTTTGGCCACTTCTTCAATACCACGAGCCTCTCCTGCGAGAGGTGTCGACCCGGATATTACTCGTTGGGCGGCGGTATACGTATCGAGTCCTTCGACCCCTCATCACTGCCCGCCGGTTTTCACATCAGCACATCCACTATCAATACGTCCGGCACCTGCACTGGTAAGTCATCCCAATCGCCCACACATTGACTTTTATGTCTGTAATACTAATCCATTTTGTCTATGAATGTCCGCCACTGGCTATAGGCTGGAGAGTGGTCTCCAATTACATCGAGTCCCAGTCCAACGCCACTTACGACGGCTGCGTCTCGAAGATCTCCTATACGGTGCGGATCGTGAAGGCGGGCAAACTGTCCTTCCGGTACCAGTACTCCATACCCGACGACCTGACGAATGCCATACTATTCACGTTTCAATACCACAACTACGACGACTCGGGCGCCGACGGCCAGAGTTTCGACTCGACAGTGAACTCGAAGTTCCCGGCGGTTACCGACCAACAGAAGTGGCAGAAGATCCAGATAAACCTATTGACGCCCGGCCTATACGTGTTTGTGTGGCGATCGGTACTGATTGGGCGCTCTCGCGGCTACTTTCCCAACACTGTTGGTCTGCGGTCGTCGCTGTTCGGTGACCGAAGCGCTTCCCGCACGGACTCCGGTGTCATACGGATCAAGAATGTGTTCGTCGACGGCGTGGCCTACGCTTCCGAGTGCACCGCTTGCGAGCCCGGGACCTATTCAGACACAGACGGCGCCGAGAGCTGTACGCCGTGTCCGCCGAACACCGCCTTCGCCGGCACCGCAGCCGCGAAGTGTACGGAATGCGATTCAAAGGACAAATACGCGCTCAAAGGGTCGGCCGTTTGCCAGGAGAGGCCCGTCTGCGGCCGCAACGACTACTACAGCATCGACTCGGACTGCGATATCGGTAACCATCGCAAGCGTATTGACTATAAATGGATTGAACCGAAGATATGTCGCGACACTAACGGCGCTCTACCGACGACTCACTACAAGGAGTGCAACGCTTCGGCTGCCGGCGATCGGCCCCTCTCTGCCTGTAATTTAGGCCAAGAGATGGGCGACGACCAGCGCTGCAGGTTCTGCGACGACAACCAATACCGCGACGACTCGGTGGACACGTGTCGCTCGTGTCCGCCCTCCACGTCTCCCCTCTACGCCCTGTCCTATAAGGTGTGGCACCCGTTGCCCGACTTTATGACCACCGAATGCGTTCAGATGGTGGACGAGAAGCAGTACGGCTGCGATTCGGACGTCTCGTGGCTGTCGTTTCCCGACGTGAAGCACTACATCCGGACGGCGCCCGCCATCCAGAGGGGCGCCTATCACTTCCTCACGCTATCGGTGCCCGGCTTTCGGCGCCCAAACGGCGGCGAAATAACGTTCAAATTTGAGATCGAGTGCGAAGAAGACGACTACTGTCTGTTCCTGTTTATGGAGAGCAAAGGCAGCCCTCGACAGTCGGCCGCACAACAGACGGCGCTCATCAAAGAGTGGGATCAGCGCACGGTTGGTGTCCAGTCGTATCGCTATCGCGTACAGCAAAACATATCGCTGGCGTTCAGTTGGATCTTTCAGCGCAACTCTAGCTTCCAGAGCAACGCCAAGATCTATGAGGTGGTGGTGACGAACCCGATGGTGGGTTCGGCGGTCCGGTGCGAGCCCTGTCCCATGTCTAACATCGCCCACTGTATTACGTGTCCCAGCGGTCAGTATTTCGAGACCGCCGGCGACCAGTCGACGAACAATCGCTCGACGACCGCACCGGCCATCACTTCTGGCGAGCGGTCGCGCGAACTCGAGACCACTCGCGGCCGCAATCGATTGGCCACTAAAGTGCTCCAGAAGTGCCGCCAATGTCCGCGCAATACCGTAATCAACGCCAGTCTGGCCTTTCCTATCGGCGCGCGTAACTCGTGCGTCGAGTGCGGCGCCGGTCTCGTCGACGACAAAGGGATCAGTTGTTACAGCGACTGTCACCTGGATCTGGACGGCGACTCGTTTGACTTGTCGCAAGTGCGACAGCCGTTCCTACACCGCGGCGGCCGCCTCTTCATGGCCAGCGGCGCTCAGTATTACCATCTCTTCAACATTACGCTCTGCGGGCGACCGAACTTTCGGGCAAATTGTGTCAATAATATCACTTCCATCGACAGTACGGACAACGCGGCCACAGTTGTCGAAGAGTCGGGCGTTCGGTCGATGATATGCCGGTCGACCATAATTCCCGATCGGGAGCACACGTTCGCCACACAGTCTGTCAGTTTAGGTAATGTTCAGGTGTTTTGACAATTAATTATAGATGCAATTACTTTTCACTATAATTACTGTATACAGTATGTGACACATGCATTACTCCCAGCCCATCACACTTCCAATGCTGTGCTAAACAGCACATGTATGCTATGAGGTGTGAGTTTGTGTGGGGGAAGAGTTGGACTGGGTTTGAGAGTAATGCCGGTGTTAACGATTCACTTGATTTATATTAACAAACAATTATACGTTTATCGTTATTAGGCGACCAACTAATCGGCATAACCCGAGCGACCACTTACCAGAACATCACTGTCCACGAGGAGTTCCGCACGACAAACAGCGACATACACTTCTACTACTCGACCCAAGTGCCGACCATCGCCTGTCCCGCGGGTCGGTGGCTAACGCTTACGCTGCGGTGCGCTCCGCAACTCGAGCAAAACCTGTCCGTATCGACGCCCGTCTCGTGTCCGGACGGCACGTGCGACGGATGCACTTTCCACCTCTTGGTGCGCACCAAAACGGCCGCCGCGTGTCGTCTCTGTCGCCAAACGGACTACGAAACAGTGGTCGGCGAGTGTGTGGAGGGCTACCAACAGATCCATTTGGTTAACCCTAAAGGGTGTGTCTTATCGGCGGACGGCACGCATCCCGTGCAGAGTCGCCACTGTTCGGTGATTCCCAAACAGGTCCAGATTGGCATCGGTCTCGTCGCCGC